GCAGGCCAGAAGAGGGCACCAGACCTCATTTCAGATGGTTGTGAGCCACCATGTGGTTGCTGGGAATTGAACTCAGGACCTTTGGAAGAGCAGGCTTAACCTTTGAGCCATCTCTCCAGCCCAGTCTCACCTTTTATTTAAGATTAGTTTATTCATGTATTTATGTATATGAGTGCTTTGTCTTCATTTACACCAGAAGAGGGCACCAAATCTCATTATAACGGTATAACCATGTGATTGCTGGGAATTGTACTCAGGACCTCTGGAAGAATGTTCAAGTGCTCTTAACCACTGAGCCATCTCTCCAGCTCCTGCATCTATCTTTAATGTGGGTCCTATGGCAGATGGTTCAATGGTATAACACTTGCCTAGCATGTATAGGGCCCTGGGTTCAATTCCTAGAACCACAAAATAAATAGATAATAAATATATAAATGTACAATGAAAAGGGCTCGAGTAGAGTAGTTGCCTAATGTGTATGTAGCTTAGTCAGAAGAATGCTTGCTCCTAGGATTGATTTTCAGCAGTGTGCCATCTGGGTGTGGTGGTACAAGCCTGTAATTCCAGTATTTCAGAGGTGGAGGCAGGAGGAGGATCAGAAGTTTAAGGTCATCCTTGGCTACATAGTAGGTTTGAGGCCAACCTGGACTACAGGAAACCCTGTTTAAGGAAGGAAAGGAGGGAGCGAGGGAGCGAGGGAGCGAGGGAGGGAGGGAGGGGAGAGGGAGGGCAGGCAGGAGGAAGGAAGAAAAGACGGAGGGGAGGAAAGAAAGAAAGAGGGAAGGGAGGAAAGGAAAAAGAAAAGAAGGAAAGCAATGTTTAAGCCTAGAATAAAATTAAAATTTTTTCACCTTGTTTTTACATCTATTCTCCTCCACAGTTTGGAGATGCACTTAATAAGACTAATTATGGTTTTGGACAGACAATAATTCTTAAAGTGAGGTAAGTTTGCTCTGGCCCAGTGAGCTGCTTTGGAGGCAGCCTGTCTTTACTTTACTTCTGCTCTTCTCTCGATCTCCCACGCCACGAGCCATCTTGTGTTAAGAAGAGATAGAGACAGCCATGGATGTGGGGAGATGGCTCAGTTAGAAAAGAGTTCGCCCACAAGCACAGGGAGCTAAGTTTGGATCCTCAGTACCCATGTAAAAGCCTCACTCAGTGGCCCATGTTTGTGAGGCTTCCCAGTGCTCTGGGAGTGGAGACAAATGGCTCCCTGGAGCTTGTTGGCCATCCAGCCTAGCCAAGTTGGTAAGCTCCAAGTTCAGTGAGGCTGTCTCCTAGGGTGGACTGTCCCTACCCCTTCACTAGAGGAGCTGCAGGTCTATATAGAGCCATGGTGTTACAGGATGGGTTTGCTAAAGTCATCAAAGATAAGGGTACTTTAGGAGACAAGAGAATTTAGGAGACAATGAGAGGGTAAAACTGGCTACTATGCTCAGAAATGTGTGGTGGGCCAGGGCAAAAACAAGTAGAACACACCCAAAGACAGGAGAAAGCTCATGTTGTTAACGGGGACTTCATCTTTCAGATTGCTTATAAAAGATGGAAGG